TAACTAGAAAAGCTACAATTTCTGGGGAAATTGTGTGAAGTGTTCTTACCTCCACCAGTAGTCTACAACTGGAGTGGGCGGAGTAACTGTTATCATTTATATAGCACATTTAATTGCAACGTTGTTGCACAGTTATATTAAACCATACATTTATAAAAACATTAGCAGGTGTTCAAAAGGCCCTGTCTATGACATCACTTGCTGCTGCAGCCTGACACAGGTCAGAGTATTTTGGCTGTTGCCATCTTCAAACAGTCGTATCTTAAAAACTATAACTCCTACAGTGAAGAGCTTTATATTGTGAGAATCACAAGACCCAGACCTACATTTTGATGCATAGTATGTCTCAGAAGTATTAAAATTGAAGGCACAGTCGCAGTTTAGAAATTGCACTTCATATTTGAGCTTTGCAGAGTGAAGTTTCAATGAAAGTCAATGGACAGCGTTAGTTGCAAACAAATGATTATATTGTGAAAACTATCAGGACTATGGCTTAGCCGTTGACATGTTTAGTGGCAGCAGGGATAGCTGAACGTTTTGATATAAGATTTGTGTAGGTGGGCCTGAAAATAAAGGAGTGGTGGCAGTTTAGAAATCATGTCCTGATTTTTCAGCTTTTGCCAGCTCCCACTCTAGCTTTGCCATTCATTCCTATGGGACAAATTACGCCACAAGAACGACGATATTCCGTGAACCATTCGGCGAAACGTTCCACAAAGTAATAGCAATCCGATCGGGAACAATCTGCACGTTTTGGTAAATTTTTGTCTATGTAGTGTAAAAACTGTGGGAGGAGTTAGGGTGGCAAATTTTGCTATAATAATAATAATAATATATATGAGATAACATTAAGTGGTCTTGCTATGCAAGAACACTTAATAATAATATATATGTGAGATAACATTAAGTGGTCTTGCTATGCAAGAACACTTAATAATAATAATATATATATGTGAGATAACATTAAGTGGTCTTGCTATGCAAGAACACTTAATAACTAGAAAAGCTACAATTTCTGGGGAAATTGTGTGAAGTGTTCTTGCCTCCACCAGTAGTCTACAACTGGAGTGGGCGGAGTAACTTATCATTTATATAGCACATTTAATTGCAGCGTTGTTGCACAGTTACATTAAACCATACATTTATAAAAACATTAGCAGGTGTTCAAAAGGCCCTGTCTATGACATCACTTGCTGCTGCAGCTTGACACAGGTCAGAGTAGTTTGGTGGTTGCCATCTTCAAACGGTCGTATCTTAAAAACTATAAATCCTACAGTGAAGAGCTTTATATTGTGAGAATCACAAGACCCAGACCTACATTTTGATGTATAGTATGTCTCTGAAGTATTAAAATTGAAGGCACAGTCGCAGTTTAGAAATTGCACTTGAAATTTGAGCTTTGCAGAGTGAAGTTTCAATGAAAGTCAATGGACGGCGTTAGTTGCAAACAAATGATTATATTGTGAAAACTATCAGGACTATGGCTTAGCCGTTGACATGTTTAGTGGCAGCAGGGATAGCTGAACGTTTGATATAAGATTTGTGTAGGTGGGCCTGAAAATAAGGGAGTGGTGGCAGTTTAGAAATCATGTTCTGATTTTTCAGTTTTTGCCAGCTCCCACTCTAGCTTTGCCATTCATTCCTATGGGACAAATTTTGCCACAAGAACGACGATATTCCGTGAACCATTCGGCGAAACGTTCCACAAAGTAATAGCAATCCGATCGTGAACAATCTGCACGTTTTGGTAAATTTTTGTCTATGTAGTGTAAAAACTGTGGGAGGTCTTGCTATGCAAGAACACTTAATAATATATATGTGAGATAACATTAAGTGGTCTTGCTATGCAAGAACACTTAATAATAATATATATGTGAGATAACATTAAGTGGTCTTGCTATGCAAGAACACTTAATAATAATAATATATGTGAGATAACATTAAGTGGTCTTGCTATGCAAGAACACTTAATAATATATATGTGAGATAACATTAAGTGGTCTTGCTATGCAAGAACACTTAATGAGTCTTCTCACTGGGTTTTGAGTTATTTATGGCTTGAGCCACAGACTTTGCAATTGCCTCTTGCATAGAGGACATTGCAGTATAAATAGCAGAGGAAACTGACTTTTGAACGGATAAATCCACAATATTATGTAAAGAATCCTCAGTGAGGATTTCACAGTCATGAGAAACACCAGGTTTTGGTGATTCAATCTGTCTGATCTCCTTAGAGTTCATAATTTCAAAATTGCAACAAATAGTAATTGTATCTACTCTTCGTAGAATAGTTAAATAGTAAGTAAATGTTGCCAGTTATGAGGGGAAATACTGACAGTAATTCAAATAGTTCAAATTATAATAATTACCATTAGAGAGTAACAAGTTGTGAGGAAAGTGCTGTCCTGAGGTAAAGTTGGCTGGAAAGTTAGCTGAGGACCAACTAACTGGTATTCCCGCCCATAAACATCATCAATGTATAATGGACTAACTGACAGAAAACGCGCGTGCAACGGTTCGTGTAGAAACTGCCGAAATGACTGAACAGTTTAAAGACAAAAAACTATAAGAAACATAGAATTACTTCAAAAAAGCATATATTCCAGTGAATAAATTCATATGTCAAACATATAATCAAACTAGAAGGTATGTTTAGAAAACAGTAGCATAAGTGAATATATATGATACTTATCTCTACTGGAGCAGCAAAGAAAGAGGGAGAATATTGGGGATCATTCACTATATGGACTATACTGGATGCTGATTGGCTACCAACGTTCCATTTCAGTTACTCTGTTGTTTTACCTTTTTTTATTCACTAAACTTTATTGAAAAAATGTCTTTGCTGCTGGAGTTAAGTATAGAAAGTTAATGCATAATACGAGCCTCCTGTCTTGTTATAAAATTATTGATTTGCTCATATGATTTAATTCACATTTTTTGTCATTAATAATGCAATTCCTAATTAAAACCTAATTCTTAAAGAGAAGCCTATCGGCTATACATTGAATTCAGTGAATATGAATATATGTACAGTAATTTATATGCAATTTATAAATATGGATACATCATGATTTTGTCTTTTATAAACCTATATATTGCCTATATGTAATAGACTATTGGAATTTGCACAGCTTGGCTCTAGATAAATCTTGCTGTAATTAATAAATATGTCTTAACTCTGACACCTTCGCAGCAACTACAATGCTGCAAATATAATATCATATTTATGTGTGTGACTGTCAATGGCAACATTCAGTGTTTTATTTTGTTTTCAAGCACAATGGAATTGGCTCGTACTTGTGTAGGAACGGAATTTTATCTATCTCCTGAAATCTGTGAAAATCTACCCTACCGTAACAAGACGTAGGTCCCAGACGTTTTTTTATTTATTTACAGTTGCCTTTTTTTCTTTTCATTTTTGTAAAGGTGATAGCTTAATTTTTCCTGTCCATTAGTAATTAAACATTTAAAGTTATTAATATTCAAAAGACTGAAAGTAGTTCCTAACAAAGCTGGACAAGTAAAGCAATGATGTATAATTAAGATTAAGACATTAATAACATACACTAAAGATGTTGTCTTTAGTGTATATAATTCTATTTTTAAAATAAAGCTTTTGTATTTAACTGTACGTCAATTAACCATAGTTTGTTAAATTGGTTTTAGGTGTCTGCCTCTCTTGAAATATTTTAAATATGGCAGTGAGCGCAATGATGTTATGCTTTTTAGGGATGTATCAACAATTGGTTATACTTGTGTGTGTTCTAAATTTCTCATTGTCAGATCAAACGGTGGTAAATAGTAGATAGTTCTATAACACATTCCATCTATCTGGTCTATTTACTAAAGCCTAATGGGCATTTTCTGTTTGCAGCTATAATTCATAGAATGACACCTGCTATTTCAGCATTTACTCCAGAGAAATAGACACACTGATTGAGCTCAATAACACTGGAAAGCCAGTCTGCAAGGTCTGCTAGTGAATATCCTGGATCTTTTAACTGACTTTTTAGTATAGTGTAGCTGAATTCAGCAGTGGCACGGCTATATATGCCACCTCGTAAATCAACACATAAGTGCTTTACAGCTCCCCTTTGCGTCTTTAACATTAAATATGGCTCCCTCCATGGAGTTATGTAGCTTGGTTAATTGTGATAGATGTTTTCAAAAAGAGCAGGAAGGGTTAGTATAGTTTGTGAAGGGCTCTAGTATGTAGAACTATTAAAATCATGCATGACTAAAAACACATGTGTGTACACTCTAAATGTTCCTGCGAGGAATGTAAAGATGGTTACAATGAAAGTTAGGGTTAGGGTATGCTGTACAGCACTGAGAAGTAAGACAACTATGCTGAAGGTTTTACCGTAACTTTAAGAATAATATTACTAAATCTAACTCTATCCCTACACGTAACCCTAATTTTATCACATGACAGGAGGCTTCCTATTTTGCATATCTCTCTTTACTAAACTCCACAGCAGTAAAGAAAGAGAAACATTTAACCAATCAAAATGCAATAGGGAGTATAGTATTAACAGTAAATAGGCTCCTCCCCTCTTTCTTTACTGCTCCATCGCAGACAGGTCAGAGTTTTTTGTTAAAGGACCACTATAGTGCCAGGAAAACATACTCATTTTCCTGGCACTATAGTGCCCTGAGGGTGCCCCCACCCTCAGGGACCCCCTCCCGCCCGGCTCTGGAAGGAGGAAAGGGGTTAAAACTTACCTTTTTCCAGCGCTGGGCAGGGAGCTCTCCTCCCCCGATCCTCCTTCTCTCCTCCCCGTCAGCTGAATGCGCACGCGCGGCAAGAGGTGCGCGCGCATTCAGCCTGTCACATAGGAAAGCATTATCAATGCTTTCCTATGGACGCTTGCATGCTCTCACTGTGAAAATCACAGTGAGAAGCACGCAAGCGCCTCTAGCGGCTGTCAATGAGACAGCCACTAGAGGGAATGGGGGAAGGCTTAACCCATTCATAAACATAGCAGTTTCTCTGAAACTGCTATGTTTATAAAAAAAATGGGTTAACCCTAGCTGGACCAGGCACCCAGACCACCTCATTAAGCTGAAGTGGTCTGGGTGTCTAGAGTGGTCCTTTAAGTATTTTACTGTTTAATGTCATAGGTATCCAGATTATTTTCTGATGTACAGTACATTGATTCTCTAGTTTTATAAGCTATCCATGTTCTATGGTGACTGACTGATAAGTGTTTACATTAATCTTCACTTAGTTTTTTTCTCTTTCTATTGTTATATTATTCCGTTATCAGTATTTGATTTTTTTTTTCTACGTTCTGTTTATACCCGGTTTATTTTACCGCCGAGACTTTCCCCTCAGAATCTTTTTGTTCCACCGCTGTCTCCCGACGGCTCCTGATTCACTTTCCCTTTACCGCTTTGTTTCGGCTTCCATCCGCGTCTCATTTCACGCGGCGGTCATCTCCACTCTCGCATCTCGCAAGACTACGGCCACCATCTTGGAAGTCTCTGCGAGTGCCGCGATCGACACACAACGGAACACAGAACGAGGTGTGTCACCCAAACGGAAATTTTTTTTCTCAGTCTTCCGACAATATAAGAGGTCAGTCAGTTTTCCCTAGCGCTGTATCTAAGCACTAAAGGCTTTATTACCCTGTGCCTTCCTGGGGTGCTGCCCCTATATTGTGCTACTATTGGAGGTCGCCCTGTGGCCACCTCTGTTCTCCTGGGTGAGGCCCAGTAACATACAGAAAATCCCAATACTGTGGTTTTGCCCTGCTGGGGCAATCTGACACTGCTTGTGCCAGTTACATGCTGTGGATACCCTGCTGGGGTATCTTTCACTATATAGACCCTGCTGGGGTTCAATACCATTGTTTATACCACAAGAAATACCCTGCTGGGGTACTTCATACTACACACCCTGTTGGGGTTATTTTGTAAGTTGACACAACAAATTGCACGATACTGCAACACCCTGCTGGGGTCTGAAGGGTGCTACCCATATAGTCAATACAGTGACTACAAATACAGCCACACTGGTCTCTGCCAACTACGCCCTGTGCCATACCTATAACCTACTAGTTGGTAAGATGAAAGCCTCTCAAAACCCGACAGACTTCCAAGCCATGATAAACGAGGCCGTAACCACCTCCATGGAGAAAGCTCTCTCCAAAATGATGGCAAGCGGACAAGTCAGACTCACATAAGGATGCATGGGGCTCAGACTCCGAATCTCAACCCGGTTTCCTACAAAATACCTTTCTGGGAGACTCCCAAGAGCCTGATACTACGGAAACCCCACAGGATGACGAAGACACCATCTTTTTTTTTTTTTTTTTTTGTAAATAAAGTTTTTCTTAGCAGTTCAGATAATAACAGAGAGCAGTGCTTATATTGTCAGTTAGACTCGCAGGTCTCCAATTGCGTCTTACATGTGTACCACCAGTTTTAGGTGGATCTTTATATAGCATTATTGTAAGCGGAGGGCTGCTGGCCCACAACATTAAGGGCATAACGATTCTATAGTTGATCCCCAATTAAATGGTAAGTAATGCGGTAGGTCCTCTAACGTGGGGAGTGCGAGAGGGGTTTGTTTTGCGGGATCGGGTCCTATAGTCTTGCACCAGGTCTGGGACTCCCTTTCCTGTCTGCCTTTTCCCTAACTTCAACGGTGCCTAGGTATGTTGTGGGTTCTCTACTGGGTCATCTACCCTCTCGTTCTGACTCCCCCATCGCGAGGCGATGCCATCACGAAGGGAGGGGGAGCGCCCAGTGGTGTGTTTAGTAGCCTCTGTCATTTTGCTTCCTTGTGGGCGGTAATTGTTGTCGTTCTCCAGTCGCTGTCCATGTTTGGTATCTGTGGTGTCTCTGGAGTGTTTTCCCTCCTTGGGTGGGGGTGATGTGATATCTCAATGTTCGGTTGTGTCAGTCATCTGGTGTTGACTTATGTTTGCTGTTTATTGTAGGAGTTTCCCTTGTCGTGGGAACCCCCCGAGTCTATCGAGCGATGTCTCACGGGTCCCACGTCCCATGGGGAAATCGTGGTGCCTTCTCGGGCTCAAATATTTTGTGGCCATGTTGCGCCAGGCGGTCCCCGACCCTGCCCGGGGGAAAGAAAAAGGAGAGAGGGGGGAGAGATAGGGATGGGTGGGAGTGTGTGGGGGGGGGAGAGCTGGGAGGTATGGGGCATAGCTATGTTGTGGCATGGGTCTATCTTGACTCCCGAGTTAGCCGGTCAGGGCAGGTCCGGGTTAGGTGGGGGGGAGAGAGAAGTTGTGTTGAGATGCGCATGTTGGTCCAGCTGGCTAGGATCCCCGTGGTGTCCCATCCCCTGTCCTTGTTTGTGACGTATATAGGTACCATGGTGTCCACATTTCAAGATGTTTGTCCCTCCTCCCAAGTATCTCAGCATATCTCGCCTCAGCTGTGTGGATCTCTTCTATTCTCTGCAGCCATTCTGTTTTGGTAGGTGGCTGGGTTTGCTTCCATCTCGCTGGGATCAGTGCTTTGGCCGCATTAAGCAGGTGTCGTAGGATTGAGCATTTGTATTGTGCCAGCTGTCCTGTGGAGAAGTGTAGGAGCGCGGCCTCTATGCTAAAGTCTGGGTCACCCAGAATTGTAGTGATAATCCCACCAAATGTGGCGTAGTGTGCCTGGCTGCGCTTAGCATCTCCAGCAGGTATCTGGGACCCCCGGGAATATCCTGTGCAGTTTTGCTGGTGTTCTGTACCACTGGGAGATCAGCTTGTAGTTCACCTCTTGGTATCTGGTGCTTATTGAGCTTTTGTGTTGTAATATGAGAATTTGCCTTCATTGGGCGTCTGTGAAGGTTCTGTCTGTCAATTCCTCCCACTGCCTCTGGAAGGCGTTGTTTCTGGAGAGTTCCCCCATATGAGCAGTTGTTGATATATGCCCAATACTCTGCCATCTGCCTCTAGGGAGCTCTCGCAGAGGTGTTCAAACCAGGTCCATTCTCTGTGTACTGCTCCCCTATTGGGCAGGTTGTGGTAGAAGTGCCTCAGCTGTGCATAATGGAAACGGTGCATTATCATCAGACGATCTGTGTCCGCCCAGTCTTGAAGGCTGCGCAGGCTGGTGTTTGTCAGAGCCGAACTCAGGGGTACATATCCCTCTGCGAAGACACCATCTTTGACCCGTCGGGCCACAGACTATTTGACTCAAGAAACATAAGACACCCACGCTCAGGGGACTGGACACCCCCTGTACATCTTGCCAAATTCATGCACCTCTGACTCCGTAAATACCTGGACAAGACCGTTCGCAATTGGCTACGGTCAGCATGCCCATGTCCCTCACTACCTGATCATGTCGCAGAGACACCCAAATTCGATCAAGTGATGACCACTTTCATATCTCGAGGTGTCCGGAACCCCTGTTAGGGTGTGGAGAAGGGTTTCAGAGGGTTACAAGACAAACTACTGGATTCCGTGGGACCACTGTCCAGGATTATGTACTTGGCTGACGATGCTCTCGCATCAGTTTGACGCAACCATGGTTCGCGAGTGGGCTCATGATGTACGGGAGTGGGCACTCATGTGTTTCCCTTTCGGCCTCAGCTCGGCCCCATGGTGCTTCACCAAATTATTGAAGTCAGAGGTTGCTCATCTTCGAGCACAAGGAATTCGCTGCATTATATACCTGGACAACCTGCTGCTGTTTTGCTCCGACAAGTCCAGACTGGTATGACACACGCTATACCATGGATCTCCTGTCATCCCTGGGTTTCGTGGTGAACTTCCAAAAGTCAGCCATCTCTCCATCCCAGACAGTGCAATTCCTAGGATTCGAGATAGATTCCACCTCTAGCACTCTGCGACTACCGACATCAAAGATCTCGGCCATTCGCAAAGAACTACGCAGGGCCATTCGTTGCCACACCATTCCACTCCGTGCCCTCGCTCGACTAGTGGGACTCCTCTCCGCTTCCATACAAGCTATCTTCCCGGGCCAACTCCACAACAGGGCGATGCAATGCCTCAAAGCTTCCTTCCTCAGACAAAACCCTTCATACGACCAACTGGTCCCGATAACGGAGGAAGTCAAAGACTAACTCAGATGGTGGCTGGACAGCATGGAAGCATGGAATGGTCAGGCCATTTTTGGGAACACACCCGACATAGTACTCGAGTTGGACGCAAGCCTTTTGGGATGGGGCGCGACAAGCGAAAATACATTGACAGGAGGCGCCTGGACCTCCCAGGACCTCAACATGCACATAAATTGCCTAGAACTTCTGTCGGGATCCTTCACCATCCACAGCCTGGCAAAAGACAAGACAGACTGCTGCATCCTCCTCAGGATGGACAACATCTCCACAGTCCGCTACATCAACCGCCTGGACGGAGCCCGCTCCCGTCTCCTGTCGGAAATAACGAAGGACATTTTTTACTTCTGTCTACCCCGCAACATCTCCCTCAAAGCGGAATATCTCCCAGGGGAGACTAACTTCACGACGGACTGGTTCTCACGCCACTGGCAGGACAACAGCGACTGGAGACTGGACCCACAAGTCTTCAACAGCATAACGGAACTACGGGGTCCGTTTCACCTGGATCTGTTTGCGTCCCGCAACAACAGGCAAAGACGAGTATATTTCAGCTGGCTCCCAGATCCTGAGAGCAAAGCAGTAGCGTTTCCTCCCTTCGCTACCTGAGAATCCTCACCCACTACTCCTGGACAATCGACTCACCCTGGTGGCTTGGACTCTTTCCGGGGTGTCAGGTAAGTCGGCGAACTATCACAGGCTGCTAGGGACCTCCTATGGGACTCATGGGCACCAGGAACCAGAATATGCTACCTATCTGCTTGGAATTCCTGGTCCACTTGGTGTATGGAACAGAACCTCGATCCATTTATGGCCTCTATTCTGGCCATTCTAAATTTTCTATCTCATCTGTTCTTGACAGGTCGATCATACCGATCGCTTAACGTAGTCCATTCCGCTATCTCAGCGGCCCACGTCCCTATACTTGGAATCCCGGTGGGTAAAGACCCGCTGGTGTGTCAACTTCTGAGGGGCATTTGACTACAAAGACCCCTAGGTCCCAAATATTCATGACTCTGGGACGTCGATGTGGTTCCTGAGAGACTAGCTGACGAACGACACACTATCCCTCCACCAACTCTCAGCCATACTTACGGTTCTGCTTTGCCTGGTCTCATTCCACAGAGTATCGGATGTTCGGGCGTTCGACGTGTTCTCAGTCTCCCCGGAGGGAGTCACGTTCCGGGTATCCCGTCGCACGAAATCAAACTCTACGTCGGTTTTCTATCCATTTTTCACCACCGATCCACAACTCTGCGTCGTCTCCACCCTACGACGGTATGTGGAGGTTACGTTACCGATACGGACCTCCTCCTCTGGTCTCTATATGATATGCATTACATTATCTCATTCTACAGTTACACTAGTGCTTAAATGTCTGCCCATCCGTAACTAGAATTACTGTAATAATAATCAATGGGTTACTGTTTTGAGACCGGTGACTAACCTATTTCACAATTTCTTTTCAGTTTAATTTCATGAGTTTATGGAGCAGCTTCAGCCAGTGGCGTACACACAACCCATGGGGCCCCGGTGCAAAAATTGATCCGTGTCCCCCCACCGCGCGCTTACTCTGCGCGGTCCTGGGCCGCAACACATAGCGGCGGGCACCTGGTCGCAGGGGTCGCAGCGCTGCGACCCCTGTGACCGCGGTATGTATGCCAGTGCATGCAGATACATATACACTTAAAGGACCACTACAGACACCCAGATCACATCAGCTCAATGAAGTGGTCTGGGTGCCAGGTCCCTCTAGTTTTAACCCTGTAGCTGAAAACATAGCAGTTTCAGAGAAACTGCTATGTTTCACTGAGGGTTAATCCAGCCTCTAGTGGCTGTCTCATTGTGGACTGTCAGTGATTCTCACTGTGAAAATAACAGTGAGAAGACGCTGAACGTCCATAGGAAAGCATTGAGTAATGCTTTCCTATGGGCGGTTTGAATGTGCGTGCGGCTCTTGCCGCGTATGCGCATTCGGAGCTGAGAGGCAGATCGCGGCGGAGGGATCCCCAGCGACAAGGGAGTCCGGCACTGGAGAAAGGTAAGTGCTGAAGACACACACACACACTCTCACGAACAGACACATACACACTAGCTGACAGACACACACTCAATGACAGACAGACACACACTCAATGACAGACAGACACACACTCAGTGACAGACATACATACACACTCACTGACAGACAGACACATACACACTCACTTACAAAACACACACTCACTAACAGACACCAAATAAACTCACTAACAGACGCACACAAACTAACACACTCAGTAACACACTCACTGACACACACACTCTAACACTAATACACACACACATACTAACACACACACACTCACACAAAAACTAACACACAAACACACTCTAACACACACACACACACTCTAACACACACACGCACACACTAACACACACACACTAACAAACACTGACACAAACACTAACACACACACTAACACACACTCTAACACACACACACACACTAACACACACTTTTTTTTTATTTCATCCCCCAGCCTCCCTAGGGAGAGCAGAGGGGGTTCCCTGGGGTCCAGTGGTGTTGCTGTGATGTCACCGGGCGGACGGGCTGTCTGTCTGGGTGGCAGGCGCACACAAACTAACTCAGTAACACACTACCTTAGGGAGAGCTGAGGGCATTCCCTGGGGTCCAGTGATGTTGCTGTGATGTCACCGGGCGGACGGGCTGGCTGTCTGCGTGGCGGGTGCGCGAGGGAGCACTCTCCCTGGCTGAGTGCTCCCTGTTCAGCTCCCTCGCACGCCGCGTACTGATGCAGGAGCTGGAATATGACGTCATATTCCGGCTCCTGCATCAGTACGTGGCGGGCAAGGGAGAGTGCTCCCTCGCGCGCGCGCCACCCAGACAGCCAGCCCGTCCGCCCAGTGACACCATGGCCTGCCTCGGGGGGCCCTGAGGTGGCCGGCTCCTGGGCCCCCCAGGAGAAGAGGCTGGCCACAGTGGGTACATACCGGGTCGCAGGGTGGCCGGGCCCCATGGTGGGCGGGGCCTGGTCGCAGCTGCGACCCCTGCAACCCCGGTAGGTACGCCACTGGCTTCACTCTGAAGCTACTTGGACTACTGATAATCCCATGAAGATCATCATTCTATTGGACGTTCACCCGTTGGTGCTTGTTTAAAGACTTTATATGTTGAACCCTTTTTCCTGGTTACGATGTCGCTTCCGAAAGAGGGGGAGGAGCCAATTTACTGGGAATACTATACTCCCTATTGCATTTTGATTGGTTAAATGTTTCACTTTCTTTACTGCTGTGGAGTTTAGTAAAGAGAGTTATGCAAAATACTCACCTCCTGTCATTATTAAAATTAAGATTATAGGTACACTAACGCTAGCATAATCTTCAATTGTTATGAATTGCATAACAATTAACAGAGCCATAAATGATGTGCTGCCCAGCTTGAGCACAACAAAACACAGATAATGAGTGACCTCTGCTGGCTAGAAAGGTCATTGCAGCAGTTTTGCTCATAACTTTCAGTGAGCCAGGGAAGATGACTGATTTAGTAATTAAAAAGATTTGGTACTATATAACCCAATGCAGAAAGTATCCATACAATACCCATAAAAAATGGAATGCATGACTGGTTCAATATCAATGCTTGAAAATAATATTGATGATTTCTAAATAAATGATTAATATTTTTCTTTTTTTCCAGGGACATCTGGTCTTTAGGATGTGTACTATATGAATTGTGTGCACTGAAGCGTCCCGTAAGCATCTAACTTACATCTAGATATAAACACAATACATAGCTAGGACAATCATAATGTGTGAATTATCAATGTCTATTTTTAATATATACTGTTGGAGTGTATCAAAATAGTTGCATTTATGCAGGAAATTATGTTATATTTTATATCTTGCATTTGAAGACCGTGTGGACAAATTATAGATTACATAAAGTAGCCGCACAAACGTATATGCAATAGACGCTTTAGACACGCAGAATAAAGAAACGTCCATTTATCCCTCTATCTCCTTGTTACCTGTGCTGTTTCTAAAAAAAGAGCGCATAAAAACTAAAATGATCCCTAACAATCAATATACCACAGTGGCATAACATTACTAAAATTTAAAAATCTACTACAAACTACCACTGTGACACACAAAATCACAATCCAATATTGATAACAATTGTCATAAGGTGATAATGTGCATACAAAGTGCTTCACTGTGTATAGTGCAATCACAGCAATCCTTAAAGGACCACTATAGTGCCAGGAAAACATACTAGTTTTCCTGGCACTATAGTGCCCTAAGGGTGCCTCCCACCCGGCTGTGGAAAGGGGAAAAGAGGTAAAACTTACCTTTTTCCAGCGCTGGGCGGGGAGCTCTCCTCTTCTGATCCGCCTCCTCTCCTCCCCGTCGACTGAATGCGCAAGCGCGGCAAGAGCTGCGCGCGCATTCAGCCGGTCGCGTAGGAAAGCATTTACAATGCTTTCCTGTGGACGCTTGCGTGCTCTCACTGTGATTTTCACAGTGAGAATCACGCAAGCGCCTCTAGCGGCTGTCAGTGAGGTTTTGGGGGAAGGCTTAACCTATTTATAAACGTAGCAGTTTCTCTGAAACTGCTATGTTTATAAAAAAAATGGGTTAACCCTAGAAGGACCTGGCACCCAGACCACTTCATTAAGCTGAAGTGGTCTGGGTGCCTAGAGTGGTCCTTCAAAGTGCGCACAAGTACTTGATTGCTATACATAGGTCTCAATAAGCTGAAAATTAGGCAAAAGGGAAAAGAAGACTAGTGCAACATTACTAAGTCATTATGTCATCACGCAAGACGCAGAAGTAATCGCATCAGCAAGGATTGCAGCCAGAGAGTGCAACAGGAGGGCTCAGAAATACCTTACTAAGAGGTGTACATGATCGGACTTGATATAAGGAGCACACAACATCCAAAACCTTTGCACAGCCTGCTTTGTTTTAACTCTTTTGGTGGATTATAATACAAGATTGAAAAGAAAGAATCTGGCTGGTGGTGAGTTTAGGTGTTTGGATCCCACACACCCAAGGGACTGATCTTCCCTGTGCTGAGTCCTGCTCCATCCACTCCACCTTTGTGAGTGACAATCACTTGAGTGCTTTCTCTAGCTATTTTTTAAGTTCTTTGCAATGTTGCACTGGTCTTTTTTTTTTTACTCTTTATCTCTATTTCAGCTTATTATCCACACAACCTATATATAGAGTACATATAGGACGCTTCTAGGTGCCAGAAAGAGGGCGCTGCTCACCTCGCTACGGAGGAGGGGTAAAACTTTACAATGGGACCACCCAAGTGGGCAGATTGCATCATTCATATTAGGCATGCCCCACTCATATAGGCAAACATATATCCCTGACCCTATAGTGTTAAAACCACCATCTAGCCCCCTGGCCCCCCCTTGCCTCCTTAAATATAGTAAAATATGACTTGTATTTAAGTCTGCAGCTGCTGCCTGTACCCTGATCTGCATGATTGGCTGACATCGTCAGAAGTGATTCTCTGAGTCAATCACAATGCTTTCCCATAGGATTGGCTGAGACTGTAAATGAGGGAGATCAAGGGCAGAGCCAGCACAAGTCAAACATAGCCCTGGCCAATCAGCATCTCCTCATAGAGATGCATTGAATCAAGTTCAGTGTCTCCATGCAGAGGGTGGAGACACTGAATGGCACTGCTGCACAGTGTGGAGCACTGCCCCAGGAAGCATCTCTAGCAACCATCTGATGAGTGGCCAGTGAAGTTATCACTAGGATTTAAGGTAAACACTGCATTCTCTCTGAATAGTGTGTGTATGTGTGAGGGGTGCTGTGTGTGTGTGTGTGTGTAAGGGGTGTTTGTGTGTGTGAGGGGTGCTGTGTTTGTGAGGGATGCTGTGTGTGGGGAGGGGGTGCTGGGTGTGTGTGTGAGGAGTGCTGTGTGGGGGGGGGTGCTGTGTGTGTGTGAGGAGTGCTGTTTGTGTGAGGAGTTCTGTGTTGCAGAGTTTGAGGGGTGCAGGTAGCAAATGTGTTGTGTTTTTTTTAAATAATTGCTCTACATTAATAAAATCTTCATCCCCCCTCCCTTCTTCTTACCTTTTGTGAAGGAGCAGGGACACAGCCAGCCCTGTTGGTCCAGTGGTGGTGAGTTCTGTATAGCCTGCAGCTCATCTGGCTGCAGGCTGTCTCCTGTCCTCCTATGCGCAGAATGCTGTATGGAGCATTGCCATGGTAATGGGCGGCAATGCTCCACACAGCCTGCTCGCAGGAGTAGCCTTACGGGTCCTCCAATGAGGGGAGCACTTGAACACGATCAAAGGGCCCTTGGGCAGGTGAAGGAGATATCTGATCTCCTCACCGGCCCAAGAGGGCCCATGGTCAGAAAACCTGAGCCGCCTCTCCATGGGCCAGCAGAGGAGATCAAAGGAACTCCCCTGTCAACAGGGCACGCTGGGCAGTGTGGTGGGGCCCCTGGGCAACTGTGGGGGCCCCCAGGCAACTGCCCAATATGCCCATGCGGAAAGACGGCCCTGGGTATTCCCACATATGAGTTTTTGAGCTGCTATTTTAAGCGCTTAATTAAGCACACTATTTTTACTCTAAGGAGTGAATATTTTGTTTTGCAGATAGTATGGTATAGTGTATAAAGATTTGAGTGTGCAAAAAATATAGCATATTAGTGAGACCTAGAGTTATCAAATGCATTTATTGGTGCCCAGACTGTCCCTTTAAATGTACATGACAATTGTCGTAAACTGTCTTGTTTATTGGTAATTATGTAACCACTTATAACTTTATCCTAAAGTTTGAAGCACAGAGCCTTATTCAACTGGCGGTAAAGATCTGCAGAGGTCGTTTTGAACCAATTTCTTCAAAGTATTCCAATGATTTGAGGAGCCTGATAGCTCAGCTTTTTAAGATATCTCCACGGGATAGACCATCTATAAATTCAATATTACAGAAGCCATTTCTTGAGAAGATGATAAAAATATTTTTGAGTCCAGAGGTGAGTGTGTGCCACTAGTGTCCATAAATAATTTCATTGGAAATTTGGGAGAAAGTAATAAAAATACTTTGTTGCTCTTTTAGCACATTCAGGAGAAATTCAGACACCTGGTATTACACAAAAAGAAAGAATTTCCTTCAAAGCACCCCAGAAGTACTCCACCAGGTAATAGACTATGATACTGTTCCACAGTACTATTCTTTACTGCAGTAAGCTCCTGCCATATTCAACACAAAATCTATAGATATATTAATGGTTACTGAGATGAAGCATATTCAATATGTTTAGTACATTTTATAGCAAAATTGGACACAAATCAGGGGACATTTGGGGGCGTGGCTTGGGCGCCGGACAATATGGCCGCTTAAGGGGCGAGCTCCGCTCCACCTGATCCCTATATCGCACCTAGCATCAGCGAGACTTGACGCCCAGAGGCTCCCCTAACCCAGAGGGGTACCCAGCAAGGCCCTTTGGACGGGTACTTACAGCCGCAGACGTGCGGGAGCGGTGAGGCGGGAAGCCCCAAAATGGTGCCAGCATCCCCGGCGGGCTCCGATAACACAGCGCTGGACGGGATAGAGGAAGAACTGAGGAGCCTCACCGCATCTATGGTCACTAAAGCTGACCTCCACACCCTTACAGCCGCCATTTAGGAGACATTGAGAGCAGAAATGGCGGGTATAAGGTCAGAGGTCACAGCACAAGCGGGCCGCATCCAGGTACTTGAGCAGACTTCTGAGGCCCACACCAACAAGCTCACTGCAACAGACATGGCAGTGGCCCGCCAGGGGGAAGTTCTACTGGCTAGGCGCAGGCATATGGAAGACCTAGACAATAGCGGGCGTCACTGCAATATTCGGATCCGCGGCATTCCAGAAAGTGAGGGGGGAAGAAAATGCAGAGGAAATCCTCACAGAGCTGTTCCAAACACTGCTGCCAGTGACTCCCCCCAGCGCTTCGAATTTGAGAGAGCCCACAGGGCATTAAGACCTAGATCGTTAGAGGATGGTCCCAGAGATCTGGTGTGCTGCCTGCACTCTTTTCCGGTGAAGGACTCCATCATTAGAAAGGCCCATGAGTGACCTACCTGGCCACTTAGAGGAGTGCAGGTTTCCCTCTACCATGACCTCTCCCCCATCACCTTGGAGGCGCGCCGAGCACTTAGACCAGTCACAGTGGCACTACGGGAACACCATATCCCTTACAAGTGGGGGTTCCCGTTTGCCCTACTCGCACGCCACCAAAAACGATGGGTCCCGCTGAGGTGGCCGGAGGAGGTCCCTTGTTTCATGGAGGAACTAGAACTGCCGCCGGTAACAGTCGTCAACTGGATTCTGGGGCCCATGGGACCCCCACCGAGACCCCAAAGGATACACAGACGCGACACACGATCCCAACCGGGACACCTTCCTCAGAGACGTCGGCATCCGGCAGCTCCGGAGGAGTAAGTGAGTAGCTTCAGATATAGGGGGCACCACCACACCGCCCACGCACCCATGAACACCACATGGCTCCAGTGCCCGCCTCTCACTTAGGCCTCCCGGGACTGTTTGGACATCTGCGCATCGGTCAGGTGGTTTAACTGCCCTGCTCGCCCTCCCGGGCGACACGGGCTGCCATCAACCTCGGTTCACTGGGGCCCCTGAACACATAGGATGGGTTCATTAGCGGATCTTGGGGAGGGGGGAAATGGGTTCTGCAGCTGGGCACAGGACCTCTTACTAACTATCTCACGAAAGTTAAAATTCAGATTCCAAGCCCTGAAGAGGGGCAGACTCCCCTTGGACACTTGCATACGGACCTTGGGTACTGGGGAGGGGGAACGGGGTGGAATGGGTCCAGCCTGCCAGGGGACCAGGCGCACTACAGCATCCCGTGTGGACTGGGTCACACTCCCCCCCCCCATTGTGCTGGGGGACGATGCACAGGGTCTGTACAATCTTTGCACGCGACGGGACTCATGGCTACTGGTCCGGGGTGGGGGGGATCCGGCGGCCTCCATTGGGCCTCCCTCACTACGAAGGGGGGGGGCTCTGTAGGGCTGCGGGGGCCCGTCCTCTCCCGCCCCTCATGGATGGTTCTCAGACTATGCTATATGTCTTTTTTGTGTTACAATATGCTCACACGCCTATGATCAGCACTGCATAACCCTATCACCTGAACGACACAGGCGGAAAGCCATTACAGCAGGGGACGTGCCACTTGGGGGGGGGGAGGGTGGGACTCATACATGACTTGTGGGATAACGGAGGGAGCTGGATACCAACATTTATGCTAGCAGGGGCGAGAATCCAACCCACGATACTCTCACTGGCAACCGCTCCCGACATTAGAACGCACTCGGAACACTAGGTGAGGGGGACTTTAGGCGGGACGGGGTGGGGGGTGGGTCCATCTGACATCAATCACCTTCTTAGGGCAGAGAAGGGGGGCCAATAGCTGGAGCTAGGGGGGAGAATTGGTGGCACTGGGTACCAAGGCTCTTACTCCGACAGGGTCATAGAGTTAGTGACAGCAGGCCTCCTCCCACATCAGAGGGGCCATTCATTAGGCCCGAAATGATAGCCCTACCCAACCTAGACACCATTAGCCACGGCCAGGTCTCTTGCCTCCAGGGGGCACGGAGACTACGCTCTAATCCCGGCCCCGCACGGGGGGGGGGGGGATTTGGAAGGTAGATCGAGATAATAGAGCACATGGGGGAGTGAAGGGGGGCACACGCCTCAGTGGGAGACATCCACACACTTAGGATGTTACTATGGGGAGAAGTTGACCGGGGGGGGAAGGGGGATGTTGTTAATAAGTTTGTACCGGCCGAATTATTGCACACCAGTTAGACTGACAAAAGCTATGTCTCAGGTTACGCAGTTAGAAGGGACGGGTGGGGCGGGACGAACCAACCCCTCCTTTCTCCTTACACCTTTTCTTTTCTTTAGCTGCATGGTAGTTGGACGGGGCCGGGGCCGCGTCTCCTAACCTACACTCAGGCTAAATTCTTGTGACTGTACGGCGGGCACGGTCGCATCCTGGACGGGTTTCCGGGGCGACACACCGCCGCGCCCAGCCACTGCTCGAGTACCCTCCAGATAGGAGGGATTAGTTACGGGATCTACACAATCCCAACAAGGATCTACACACCCCATAAACTCACACCTCCACACATCGCTACCAACAACCCCCCGCTGCGTACTCACCTATTCTCTTTTGACCCCGTTTCCCCCCCCCTTTTCCCTCTCTCTCTCCTCCTTCTTCTTCGTCCGCGCCGGGGGCCCGGGGTCGCTCACTCGCCGCGGGGGTTGGGGCTCCCCACGCCTGAACTCACAGCATAGGTGCACGGGAACCAGACACCAACTATAACAGATGGCGTACCGCAGTGCACCAATATCGATACTCACCCTCAACTGCAGGGGCCTGAATGCTCCGGAGCATAGAACTCATCTTTTAAAAGAACTGAAGAAAAAGCACATCTCGGTGGCGATGCTCCAGGAAACACATTTTAGGGAGGGGGTGGATCCTCCCTTGCGCAACAAATCATACCCGAACAACCACTTCTGCAACCACCCTTCAGCTCGCAAATCTGGTGTGGCCATATTGCTCGCAGCAGATCTTGCCTTTAAGGAACTAGACAAGCACCAGGATGCACAGGTGCGTTACATTTTCCTGAACGGTATTATAGCAGATAAAATATATACATTTGCCACAATCTATGTTACCAATAGACACCAAGCCACGTTCTTGAAGAGAACATTGACCAAACTGCGAGATTTCATGGAGGGTACTCTGTTGGTGGGACGGGACTTTAACGCCCCCTGGACCCGATGTTGGACTCGTCATCAGGTCATAGCTGTATCCCCCAACGCAATATTCGATCCATTCGGAAGCTCACAAGAGCATTATCTTTGGTACACTCATCCAGATAGCATCTCAAAAAAAGAAGGCGGCCATTCGAGAAATGGCAAAATTCTACGAGACCATCTCAACTTTAGAGTCACAACATAAACGGCACCACCTCAACGCAACCTATGGTGAGCTCACGGAGGCCAGACGAGCACTAAGAGACCTTGTAGTGAAGAGGCACCTTCATGCTCTACAGAGCACGAGAGGCTTCTCTTACGCTCACGCTAACAAGGGGGGTAAGCACCTAGCCCGACTTCTGAAGGGCACCAGTCCACGTACACAAATCTGCAGCTTACGCCTTACATCGGGCGCGATCTCCCCCTTCCCTCAGGACATAGCGGATGAATTTAGGCATTTTTACCAATCCCTGTACAACCTCCCACCGCACGGGGGGCAGGACCGATCGCAGCACAACCAAACCCTGCGGACCGAATACCTAAACGCCACTGTCACGGAAGTGATCAACCCTGACTCGGCGGCGGTCCTGGACACACCTATTAGCATGGAGGAGCTGGCCATTGCCCTGAAGAGATCTAAAACCGGCAAAGCCCCAGGACCGGATGGCTTCTCCACCGGCTACTATAGAAAAATTTGCTGAGAGACTCCTACCGCGGCTCACGAATGCCCTTAACGCAGTGGCGGAGGGGGGGAGACTCGGTCAGGAATCCCTACCGCAACAATCACTGTTCTACTAAAACCTGGGAAGGACCCACAATGCTGTGGTAGCTATCGTCCGATATCCCTTATAAATGTTGACACCAAACTGCTAGCGAAGGTGCTCGCTACAAGGCTCCAACCCTACCTTCCGAATCTGATTCATGCGGACCAAAAGGGGCTTTATCCCTGTGTGAAGCGCGTGATAGTATCCTAAGACTCTTTTCCGTCCAACATCTAGCGAGGAGGAGAGGGGAACGCCTTTTACTGCTGTCGACAGACGCGGAGAAGGCGTTCGAACGGGTCAATTGGCTGTATATGCAGGCCACATTGGAGGCGATGGGCCAGGGGCAAACCCTTCGGACATGGATATTGGCTTTATATAGCACACCACGAGCTTCCGTGAGGGTCAACGGAGCCCAGACAGCCGATTTTGCAATACATAACGGTACTCGGCAGGGATGCCCCCTCTCCCCACTGTTATTTGCCCTGTCCTTGGAGCCACTCCTACAGGCGATCCGCTCGAAGCCAAACATACAGGGATACGAAGGAGGGGGATCGACTCATAAAGTGGCGGCGTACGCTGACGATTTACTTTTCTTTATAAAACACCCACGAACCACTCTGCCAAACTTGTTGGCGGAATTTGATCGCTATAGTGCAGTATCAGGATTTAAACTTAACCTCACAAAATGTGAGGTACTGAACCTTACACTACCCACAGCGGAATACAGGGCGCTGGAATCTGAATTCGCATTCAGATGGTGCCACGGCAAAATGAAGTACCTGGGCGTCTGGGTAACCACGGACCCTGGGAGACTTTACGAGAACAACTTCCAACCCCTCCTACACACAATAAAAACGTATTTGGCCAGGTGGGCCCTCCCACACATAACGTGGCATGGGCGCATAGCAGTGCTCAAAATGAACATGCTACACAGGGTGCTGTATCTCCTACACTACCCATCACACTGCCGGCGTCCTTCTTCTCCTTCCTGAAAACGGCGGTGCTCCGCTTTACGTGGCGAGGCGAACGCTCCAGATTGCGGCATGACATCCTCTGTCTGCCCAGGTCTAGTGGGGGACTAGCTCTGCCGGACTTTAGAAAATATTATCAGGCCACGGTCCTGCAGCGTATTCTAGACTGGCATCAGAATCCTTTGCGAAAGCCTTGGGTACAGCTGGACAGAGAGGCTACGGAGGGTAGGATAGAAAGCATGATCTGGGGAGGGGACCTGGGACCTCGGGAGCGGGGAGAAGAGGAGGGGCCGGTCACGCACACACTCCGGGGATGGAAATCTTTAAAGGAAAAGCCAAACATATCACCCACGCCTAGCCCACTTCTCCCGGTGATGCTTAACAGAAGAATTGGGGGAGGGCCATGCCGGCCAGAGCATGGAGTTTCCTGGGGGAGGGGGACTATATACTCATACGTCGGGCCCTAAGCACCAATGGACTTCGAGACCTAGACAGGCTTCTGGAGCGGAGACCATGGACCCCCATGATCAACCTACGATACCTGCAGCTGAAACACAATGCTGACACACAGAGAGCATCTACATAGGGAATCGACGTGGTTCGAGGACTTGTGTGAACGAGGCACCTCCATAGAACATGCCATCTCCACAATATACCAACAACTAATAACAAACAAATGGACAACCGTGGCCACCTTCAAGAGGCATTGGGAGGAGTCCCTGAATAAAACATTCACCACACCACAATGGGATAAGGCCCTGATATGGCAACACAAGAGCTCCATCAGCTCATGCTGGAGATGTCAAGAGGAAAGAGGCACGCTGATACACCTGTGGTGGGAGTGCCGGGACATACTCCCATACTGGGACATGGTGAAAACGGAGACGACGCTCGTGCTGGGAGATGTGCCGGATTGGTCACCGGAACTGGCTCTCCTACACATCTCTCAGCAAACAACTTCAAGCTATAAAAAATCAATCCTCTGGCACCTACTGAACGCTGCTAAGGCAGCCATTCCGGCGTATTGGAAACAAATTACCGATACAGCGGGTGGAAGACATACAGAGCATGGAGGCGCTCCATGCCTCCCTAATGGGCAGGGAACTCAAACATGCAGAATTGTGGAGCCCATGGTTCATGTACATTGCTCGATGCCCTCGGGCGGGGGGTGCCTTTGGGCCCGTGGTGGGGGTGGGAGCGGGCGCGGGCCCTTCGTAGTGCGGACCACCCCATCTTACATACCCCCCTCCCTTTTTCTCCTTAAACCTCAACCATACCAAGAAATGCGGGAGGAATCCCGACGCGGAACATGTAGGACACGACATGGGTGTGCACACACTGACACACCAACGAAAGATGAGACACAACACACACACTACAGTCATACAACCAACAAGAAATCACATACATCGGCATCTACCAAAAGTAGAAGCAAATTAACCAAAGGTTACCTGTAACGGGACAGCCTTCATGAACACAAAAATGTTACCCAACGTACACCGATACATACCTCCTACATTGCCAAGGACCTGCTCCTTCCCACTAGAGAACAGGGACAAGACTCGTATGCTATAGAGCTTGACACAGCTCATCTGCCCAAGTACGGGAAAACCCGTGCTACAAGTCATAGTTGTACACTCACGGTTGGTCAGGATGCAAAACGCTACATCCCCTGACAGATCACAGAAGAGACAGTGGGCGACAGGACGGTAACTGACTTATTAACTGTTGGAAAACCTCAGAGCTACGACCAGCCTATGAACATAAAGGCACCTAAACACCTCACGTTCACGAGTTTTACATTTGTGGTTTTCTTTTCTTCCTTTTTTGCTCTATTTAATGTTGAGGACCTGCGAGTCCCATGTGAACAACTGTCCTGTTACTTATTACTTCTGCTTATGAAAACTTAATAAAAATAGATTTACAAAAAAAAAAATCAAGGGACATTTCAGTCTTATTATGTCAAGTTGCAGAGATGTAACTCTCTCATGTTGTGAGAACATTTATGGGGATTCAGGGCTCAAGTCCTGGGAAAAAAGTGTGGGAGTTCACCTAAGATATCCCCCACCCCCCAAACAAAAACCAAACACTCGTATGCATATATAAACGCATGCAAACACACACTCAGACACACATGCACTCACAGACACACACATACACTAAGAGATGCACACACATACTCAGACACTCACACAGTGGTGTATTTAAATTTTGTGCTGCCCTAGGAATGACTATACCTGAGCACCCCCCTAATCTAAATTTACCACCCCTTCTTGTCAAGGGCGCACCGCTTCCTGATTAAGAACCCACCCCTTCCTCTTTAGACTTTACCTTTTCCTGCTCCTTTTAAAGAAACACTATAGTGCCAGGAAAACAAAGCTGTTTTGTAACACACACACTAAATGACAAACAGACTCTCACTGATTTGACAGACACTCACAAACACACTAACAGAAGCACATACATGCAAACATACACATGCATACACTAACAGAAGCTGTAACGAAGCTCCCTGTACTCCGACCGAGTACCCTCCGTTGACGGATGCTCCTAACCCTTCCTGAGGACTCCAAGCACTGCAGCAGACACCACAACCACCGCAGACTCCGCAACCGCCGTATCTTGACTGGAGTCTCGCCGTCTTCCTTCCACCCTGGATCAGCTTCTGTCCTCCAGGACTGTGTGGGAAAAACCTCTCCCTTCCACCCTGTATGAACCTCCAGCATCCAGGACTGTGTGGTGAAGACCCCTCCTCCAAGGAGAGCGTGTCAGGAACAAGCTCTTAAAAGAGCTAAGTGACTCAAGCTCAGGGGAGCATGCAGAGCATAGCAATCCCCAGTGTGATTATAACAGCTCCCTCCAATAACGAGACAAGGCTACGTTTAGAGGGATCAAGAAGAACTGTCAAAACCTTTATTTCCCTTGGGACCAGCCAATAGGGTCACCACAATAACATTGTTGTGAAACCTCAATAAAATCACAAACAGTCAAACCATATCAAGCAACACACAGTGACTTATCACAACACAATGGCACATTTTTAAAGGGGTGGGGGGAGACAATATTTAACAGTAAATATCTCACCTGCCTGCAGAATTAGCAATATGCAAATCTACCCGAATATGCAAATGAACCAGTCTTGCAATTCAGGTAGTGCATATTGCTGTTGCTACCAACAGAGGGCACTAGACAAGCTCCATAGCCAAACCCACCTAGTTGGTAGCAAACCTCAGCAATACAAGAGAGCAGGCAATACATTACACAGTACACACACACACACACACACTATAAATAATTACATTACACACACCCTGCACCTATAATGGGTACAGGGTGACTAAAACATAAGATAAATAAAGCAGCCTACATAAATAGCCTGTCTGAAGGTAGAATAGGGGCTTTAAAGCCAAGTACATCAAAGAGTCATAGTCACAGGGGAGGAGGCTGGCAAGCAGGCCTCTCCAGTACCAAGTGGCGAAGGGCACTTCGTCACAGAAGCACATACACACACACGCATACACTAACAAAAGCACATACACTCATACACACACACGTACATACGCTAACAGACGTAAATACACTCATACACACACACATACAATAACACACACATATGCTAACAGACATAAACTAATAGACATGCACACACATACATACACTAACAGACATACACACACACATACACAAACATACATATACACAAATTATTAATATTATTAAAATTAACATTTTCCACCCACCCAGCCTCCCTACCTTTTGGGAAAGCTGGCATGGATGGGTCCCTGGGGTTCAATGGGGCTGCAGTGAGGCAGGTGGCTGTCTCCCTGTCAGTCGCGGCGAGGGAGCTGTGTTCTCTCTGCTTCCTCTTGCCGCGCGGGTTGTTTGCTGATGCCGGGAGCCGGAATATGACGTAATTTTCCGGCTCCCGGCATCAGCAAACGGCGCGCCCTCCATGACATGGGGAACACAGAGCATTAAGGGGTGGCATTTTTTGACGCCCCCTTGGTTAGTGCCTGCAGGGGGAACGGCGTTCCTGCTATGAAAAAAGTGTAGGAACGCCATTCCCACGCATTCCTGCTGGACTCATGCCCAGATTGATTCAGAGTTAGTGAATGATAGTTAAACATTCTGGAGTTGGAAGTGTTTTAAGGGATTTGAAAATAGATAGAAATTCTAAGAACTTTTTCCTGGTACAGATAGGTTAGATTTACAGATGAAGTAAAGAGTAAGAAGGCAGTTCTTTTGGTGTTATTTTCAAGATTGTTTCAAGATGTCTGCTAGATTGTCAGATGTCAAGGGATTTCAAGAGATCGTCCAAGCATTTCTTTCACCTCTTTTCTTAATTTTCTTATTTTTTTTTTTTTTATATCCTTATGTCATGGGGTTATATGTCATTCCTTATCTGTTAACCTTCTGACCAGGTCCAATGGAAATCTTGGGGCAAGTCTTATGTTAATGGCTGTTGACGTCATATATATGTTTCAAACAGCAGGTGGAGCTGTTGGCTTACGTCAGGAATATTACCAGCTATTACATATGTAAGATTAACTCTTGTTTAGGACAATCAAGTAGGAATGTTTTAATTTCAAGATTTTTTTCGTCAGCGTTTTCTTTTCTCAATTTTTACTTTGGTTGTTCAAACCAATTTGTCCTTGCTAACCTAAGCATTATTGCATTTCAAGATTTTAAGTTGTCATACTTAATCTATGTATAGGTTATTACATATTTATATCTATATATCTGTTTCTATATATGTGTATTGCTAACTAAGAATATATGACATTATTTTACTATTTTGTATATAACTAAACTTAATTATACACCTTATAACAATACGTATGTGTTTGCTGAACAACTCATTTTTAATAAACAAATACTTGTTCTCGCTCTTATCTTTGTTCTTATCGTTATTGACACAGATGTATTTACTCACTGTTTGGCTCTTTAACTGACAAGGCAAAACTTTGAGGAAAAACATTTGTTTTTCTTAATTTTAAGCACCCATGGCATATTAGCTCAATTGCGTTTTTGCTATTACATGTATCAGTTTTATCCCACAATATATACGCATTTCCTTTCCTACACAATATCTCTGACAACGTATGTGATCTTTTTCTTAAGATGTTCAAGTGCTCCCCTCATTGGGTCATGCGGAGCAAATGCTCTACGCAGCAATGCAACCAGAAGAGGGAAATAGCGAATGCTGCATATACTAACAAACTCAATGCCAGTGAACGCTCCTCCTCCTGGTTTGTGTGGGCTGAATTCAATAAACAGCCACTTCTTAAGTCGTTCAAATACGTGACGTCACACCCGCCCTTAAAGTTACTACGAAATCTATGCGACCACATTACATTACTTTTTAAAGTCGCAGAGATGACGTGGACCAATCAGAATATGCATAAGGCTATATGAAGCCAATTTGGGCCCTTATTTAGTGCCCTATTATGATTTCTACCTTGACACACCTTTAGTGCTTATAGTAAGTCTTTTTTTTATATGATATTGACATTGGCTTGTATTTTACTTTGTGTATTTCTATAATCCTGACCTTGGCTATTACTGACTCTTTCTTTATCTTTTTTTTATGTTAAATTCAGCCACTCTAAGGCTCTGTTTGTGGGATTCACCATTTCCTGTAAGTTATGGTATGACCCTGTGACACAGTCTTTGTGGTGCTTTTTGATGATGCATACACACTTGTGACATCATGGCCCTCTGTCACAAATCACAACCCAGTACAGGATATATGTACTTCCAGGTTGTCCTTGTTTCCTTACCCTGTCGTGGTTTCTGTATCTCTGAGAGTGCATTATATATTACTTGTTATTCTGTTTTCTGACTTTGACGTGTCTGATCATTCTGACCTTGGCTTGTTTCTCATTTCTGTGTACCTCTGTTAACGTTTATTTTGTGTCTGCTTGAGATTTTCTGACTATAATCTCAGTGCTGGCCCAGCCACACCAAGGACCATTATGCATAGCTTCCTTGCAATTACCTAGGTTTCTGGTTAGGGTCAAGCCAATCCTGACACCAGGGATGTCAGAAAATTACCCCAGATATTAGAAGCTGCTGATGTATCTATGTATGAGACAGAGATGGAAAATGGTGAGGACTCATAGATAGAGTCTTGTATGTAATTTATAACCAGGAGGTATGGAAACACATGCATGTTATCATTTATATAGTGACAATAGTTGATTTTCTGTAATAATTAGTTTTATTTTATTTTTTCTATTGTGAATGTTGGTAGTGTGGGTAAAAGGCCTAGAACACTTAATATTCTGTTAATGTAGAGAAATGCAAAGTTATGCAACCCAGAAGGATTTGGGAATTGTTATTGACAACAAATTAGTCAACAATATGCAATGTCAATATGCAGTTGCTAAGGCCAGTAAGGTTTTGTCATGTATAAATAGGGGCATAAATCCTCAGGATCAAAATATAATTTTGTCTCTTTATAAATCGCTGGTAAGACCACACTTTGAATATGCTGTTCAATTTTGGGCATCTGTTCTAAAGAAGGATATCATGGCACTATAAAAAGTGCAGAGACAAGCTACAAATTTTATAAAAGGAATGGAGCATTTTAGTTACGAAGAAAGGTTAAAAATTAAAATCTCTTTAGTTTGAAAAAGCGGCACCTCAGAAGGCATATCATTACATTATACAAACATATTCGGGGCCAGTACAAACCATAGGAAACAAGGTCACGTATTGAGGCTGGAAGAAATGAGATTTATTCTAAGGCAAAGAAAAGTTTTTTTTACTCTAAGAGCAATAAGGATATGGAATTTTCTGCCTGAAGAGGTGGTTTTATCAGAGTCCATACAGATGTTTAAACTGCAATTGGATAAATACTTGCAAAAACATAACATACAGGGATATAATTTCTAATTAGTGGGATAATAGTTGCTTGATCCAAGGAGATATATGACTTTTGGGGTCAAGAATTATTTTTTTTTCCAAGTTTGTTGCAAAAAGTACTTCAGACTGGGTTTTTTGCCTTCTTTTGGATCAACAGCAAAAATGTATGTGAAGAAGGCTGAACTTGATGGACTCAAGTCTCTTTTCAGCTATGTAACTATGTATCCAACTCCACCAAAGCATGAATCAACAACTGAATATGACCTCAATCACAATGCTAACACCTAGCAAACTAAAAAACTGCACAGAATAGCTCATCTCAGTTGCTCTGTTTTAATGTTTTATATACAGTCTTTGCATATTTCACAGCTATAAAGACTAAACTGGGAATATTTTTTTTTCGACAGCTGACTACTCTCGCACAAACCAAAAACAGTGGAGACAGAATGCACCTGGGACAATGCTGAAGTCTTTGGCAGTGGTAGAAATGCAATCTGACAATGTTTGTGGTAAGAGTATTTTATGTCTTTATAGTTTAGGAAAAATGTGGGTGGGTATGCATGAAGATATTGCTGCAAAAAAAGGGAAGAGGGAGGGAGGGAATGAGTATGTAGATGTGTAAGTCAGAAAGATTGTGGTGGGACTAAATATGATAAAACTACCTACGGTTCAAATAGGAAAATTACTGTTATGCATCACCTGCATATGTCAAGTTGGTGTTTGCGAAGTCCTCCTTGGGCACAAAATTTAATTAATCATGTTTCCACAACAATCCCAGAGTTCCCAGCTTGATATGCAAATGGTGCCGAAATGTTGTTCACCTTTTGCACTCCTAAATAAAAGACTGCCTTCAAAAAAGTCACAGGTGTGCCCAAGCATTTGTTTCTAAAGTTACTGGAAGTATTGGGAGTTGGCCTTCCCCGTTTGGAGGCACCCTGATAATTCCATGATTTAAGGTGTGTGCACTTCCTCTCTATCTGAAAAATATGCTAATGAGCACAGACACACATGTAGTGTTTCTTCTGCATGCACCCATTGCAATGGACACGGTTTTAAATATAGCTTTTTTTAAAAACAAAATCAGGGCTATGATTGCAATGAGCTGTGTCTTAGGCTTAGCTCAGTGAACAGAACTTCCTGCTGCAGAGAGGCAGGGAGTGACACCCAGGTAAGTAGTCAAACTTTTACCAACAGTTTAAATACTTATATGGGTTTTGGGTGCGTAAGGTGTTAAAGGCACCATAACCACTACAATGTTCTGTAGTGGCTGTGGTGCTTTAAGTGTTCTTTTAATGACCTGCTACTTCTCAGAACTAAAGATATTACCAGCTAATGGTGGGTTATGTTTTTTTAAAAACCTAGGCGAGAGACAAAACATACATGTTAGAATATTGACTAGCATTGTTCCCTATCATACTGAAAAATTATAACTTTAAGTAATGTATCACTAAGAGAGCAGAAATCATTCTTAATTCAGTGCATTATCATTTTTAATGTCATTTTCTTATTAAGATCGGAGTCTGAAGCAGTGGAATCCAACCGAGGAAGAAGTATATGAGACTGATACATCATCAGAGATTGATTTGGATAAAGAACGCCTAGAACCAAGATCAGATGATTACGACACGTAAGAACAATATGAATTACAGATATCATGTGTCATTTTAAAGGTTTATGTCAGAACTCCTACATGGTAAATATTGTTTGCCCCACAAAAATGTCATTACATCCCCAGAAGATACTTACAATAGCACATTTTTTCCAATTGCTCCTAGAGGAACCAGTTTCTATATTAAATAGATATGGAGCCACAAGATGCCTTTTAAATATTGCAGCAGTGGCAGTTTCTGATGATTAGATAGTACCCAATAGTTACTAAACAATATTATTATGGACCACTCATCTCCTTCTTGCTCTAACACTTCAGGGAAAGTTAAAGGACCACTTTAGTGTTAGGAATAAAGCTTTGAATTCATTACACTATTGTGTCCCTCTGCAATGAAAGAATGAAAAACCCTTTAACTGCTTACCTGTTTCCGTCTTTTCTAATGTCAGCACAAGTGCCGTGCATTAGGCTTTCTCCATAGGAAAGCATTGAATCAAAGCTTACCTGTGGGGATTTGCAAGACACTGGATGTCCATATGAGTGAGGACAACCAGAGATGTTTCCCAGAGTCAAGCTCCATGAACCTACAGGAAGCAACTCTAGTGGTAGTCTTAACCCTGCAATGTACATATTGCAGTTTTTCGAAAATGGCAATGTTTTAAATTGCAGGGTTAAGGGTACAAGGACACTGAACCCAGACCACTTCTATGAGATAAATTAGTCGGGGTGCCTATAGTGTTACTTTAAAGGGAAAGTCCATGTTGGCGCTAACAGTTTTAATGCCTTAAGAGAAAAGTAAAACAAGACAAAAGGCTAAACCTTACAACCACATTCACGCAGGAAGAGTGAGCTCATAGCTGCAGAAACGTTTTGCAGGTCACTGCAACTGTAATGAATAAGACAAAATTAATCTGGAACCAAGATCCTGGCACTAGCATATATAATTGTGGTAAAATATACCTTTAAGAAACTTGCAGCATATATGTTTGTGCAGCTTACTCATAATTCTTTCTATCTATATGTTGCATCCCAACATGTTCCAGAAAGTAGCAAACTCAATTCTAGGCGCCCAATGATGAGACCCATAGAGTGGTAGGAAAAGAGAAAGGAGCTTGAATTCTAGAATGACAGATTTGTTTTATGCCTTTTGTTTTAACAGCGATTTTGAAGAATCAGAAGATGAGCTTCAAGAAGAAGTAAAGGAATCTATGGAAAAAGATTTGAAACAAAGAGAAGATGATGTATGAAGAATGTAAATAAGAACGTGGATGAAGAATATACTGAGAAAGCAAAATATACACACAGAAGAAACTGCCTTAAATAATAATAATGTATCATCTGATCATATCCCATCATCTGCAACCAGTGTGCAAAAAAAAAAAAAAGAATATTGCTATTATTCAAGATGCAGTGCTAGATACCCCACTCGTAAAATGTTATCTGCGACATACTCAAAACACACTGTAACAATGTAACAAACTCTGCATGGTATTGTAGAGTGGTTATTTCCACAACTGTTGTAGCAAGTCTTTTACTTTACTTTTTTTTTAACACCTTGAGGACATAGGCAGTTGTACAAGTTCGGATCAAAACAAAACATAAACAAAACCTAGAATTTGAGCCAAATGTTGTTTGACCACAATTCACCACTTTCTTATTACGTGCATCCACACTTATTATATTTTATTTTGTTCAGGAGAAAGAGTGCTTTTATTTCATATCAAATATATATGTATAAGAAAAATAACTAAATATAAATACAATTTAAAAAAAGAATGAGAAATTAAGAAATTGTGTTATCAAGTTCTGTATGGCATTTTAACTGTAATGTCATAATACTGTTAGCTTTTAATGCAATAAAATACACATATTTGTATTCAGCAATGTCTCACGCGTACAACAGTACCCCTCATGTAGAGGTTTTATGAGGTTTTGGAAAGTTACAGGGTGAAATATAAGGCTTTCCCCTTTTCTATTTTTGCTATTTCAGTTTTCCAGATTTTGTTGGTGGGCCTATGTTGCCTTTGAGACCGTATGGAAGCCCAGGAATGAAAATCCCCCCCATCACAGTATACCATTTGTAAAATGAGACAATCCATGGTATTCAAAATGGGGTATGTCCAGTCTTTTTTATTAGCCACTTGGTCACAACCACTGGCCAAAGTTAGCATTCATATTTGTTTTTTGCATTTTTCCTACAAAAAACACATATATACTATTGATATCATCATCATGATACATTTTACTGTTTTTAAACACTTGTATTTGTATTCAGCTACGTCTCTCGAGTAAAACTGTACCCCCCTCATGTACAGATTTTATGGTATTTTGGAAAGTTACAGGGTCAGTATAGGACTTGCCCATTTCAGTTTGCAAGACTGGTTTACTGGGCCTATGTTGCAGTTGAGACCATACTATAGCCTAGGAATGAAAATGAACCCCATCATGGCGTACAATTTTCAAAAGTAGACAAGCCAGGGTATTCAAAATGGGGTATGTCCAGTCTTTTATAGTAGCCACTTAAAATGCACTTTCACTGATGATATCATTATCAGTGAAAGTAATATTGTTTTAAAACATTCATATCTGTGTTCAGTGAAATCTCCCGAGCACGACAGTACCCCCCATGTACAAGTTTTTTGGTATTTTGGAAAGTTACAGGGCTAAATATGGGGCCGCAAATTAAATTCTCTGAACTTTTTGACTGGGCTGTCAGACAGGTCCCTCAAATTATAATAAATAAAATCAATTAATTATGTAAAATGTATAATTATATACATCGAAATTGACATTTTAAATTGAGCCCTATATCTTACAGGAAGCCAGTGTAGGGACTGACAGAAGGGTGAGGCGTGGGCAGTACAGGCAGACAGGAAGATGAGCCTCGCCGCCGCATTCATTATGGACAATAACGGTGCAAGTTGGGAGCACATAAGATCACTGAGAAGCAGATCACAGTAGTCAAGGCGAGAAAGGACAGTGGAATGGACCAGCACCTTAGTCGCAGATGGCGTTAAGTAGGGTCGGATGCGCGCAATGTTTTTGAGATGGAAGCGGCAGGATTTGGCGATAGACTGAACATGAAGCGTGAAGGAGAGGTCAGAGTCAAAGAGAACACCTAGGCAGCGAGCCTGCATGGTGGAGTTGATGTTAGCACCATTGACTTGGAAGGAGACAGACACTGGAGTAGCAACACTTGAGTGAGGAAAGACTAGAATTTTAGTTTTGGTCAAGTTGAGTTTAAGGATGTGGGCAGCCATCCAGTTAGAAATAGCAGAAAGGCAGTCAGAGACACTAGTCAAGCGGGACGGGGAGAGATCAGGAGAGGACAGACAGATTTGCATGTCACTGCATTGAAATTATATTGGAAGCCAAATGAGCTAATGAGTTTACCAAGGGAGGCAGTATAGACGGAGAACAGTAGGAGACCAAGGACTGAACCTCTGGGGATACCAACAGAGAGGAGTTGGGGAGAAGAAGCAGAGCCAGAGAAAGAAACACTGAAAGAGCGCTGGGAGAGGTAGGAGGAGCACCAGGAGAGAGCAATATCTTGTAGACCGATATTGCAGAGCATAAGAAGAAGCTGTTGAAGATCAACAGTGTCAAAAGTCGCAGAAAGGTCAAGGAGAATTAGGATAGATCAGTGCGAAAACCAGACTGAAGCGGGTTTAGCAGAGAATTGGACTTGAGGAAGTCTGTCAATCTCGCATACACAACTCTTTCAAGGATCTTGGATGCAAAAGGCAGTAGCAAGATAGGATGGGGAGTTAGGGTCAAGGTTGGGCTTCTTTAGAACTGGTGTTATAGTTGCATGTTTGAAGGGCAATGGAAATATGCCAGATAGTGAACTCCCTGTGTCTAAGGAACCTGTAAAAAAGCTAAGTATATAGAGGCTTTTAAGGTTTGATTGGTCTTTAGTTTAAATGGTGAATTATCCAAAATGTCAGATAGAGACCTGAATAAATTCCCATTGATTGGTAATCTCTGAGGTGTTTGTGGTGTACTGCACCTCTGGATTTCCCTTTAATGCTATCTTAATTTGATAAGAGGATAAGAAGGTTTGTTTGTTTGGAAATAGTGGAAGCATGTGATGTTGTAACCCTGTGAGATAAAGTTTGATTGTGTTGTAAGATAGATGTAATTTGAGGTGGCAAAAGGAAGTGAAAGCCACTAAAGATTCCATCGAGAAAATAGCTACCACATGGAATTCCCTAGTAAATCTCACAAAAATATTTAAAGCTCTTTTGTATGACCATCTTGTGTTGACAGATAAAGCACACTATGACAGTATTCTGCCATTAAAAGCCTCTATATACTTAACTTTTTTACGGGTTCCTTAGACACGGGGAGTTCACTACACCCCAATGTCTCACCGATGGCAACTCCGGCTCCTCAATTTCAAGACCTCATCTTGGATTAGACCAACTCTTTGCACATGGCAGAATACTGTCACGGTGCGCTTTATCTGGCAACACAAGCCTGTCCTACAAAAGAGCTTTCAATATTTTTGAAATATTGGGAACATGTGTACAAAAGATAAAGAATTGATGAGTCACAGTTAGCCAAGTTAAGCGTCTAACAAAACACATGATAATGAGAGAAGGGAAACGACCATTATTAATGATGACATGTCGCCTGATTGTCAGAAAAACATTGTACAGTTTGTCCAGAGCAGGAGCGTCCCCAGGTCGCTGCAGCAGCCACAATAGGATAAAATTTGAAAATTCTGAAGTCATATTAAAGGCCTTCTATGCTCTGATTTGGGACAGCCAACAGCCCCATAGCCATTGGTCACCAAAAATTGCTGCAAAGCCAGGGGAAGCCGCTACAACTGACCAGAGCATTGGGGAATTGTCGGAAAAAGGAGGTATGAACATGGATTTCCCATTCCATTGACATAGGAATTTCTGCCACACCTGCAAATCTGCTGTGGCCTGGTAATCAAGAGAAACCCTACTGTCCTTGGAGGGCAAATCCGGTAATAAACAGAGAAGCCTAGAAATGTATGACCTGCCCTGAGGGGTGATCCTCATTGCAAAATTCAACTATCCTACAAATGACTGTAATTCCTTACGACTACAGTAACCCAGTCACAAGTAATCATCAATACATGCTAGGATACGTTCAATTTTATCCCTTGGCAAGCTGGATTCCATAGCGACGTTGAATGCCCAGAACACTGACTATGGTGTCAAGACCCTCTGTTTTCGAATGAGATACCAGGACACCCTACTATTTTTTTTTCAATTTGACAATTTTTATTGAGTCAAGATTGTTGCAGCGGGATACAAAAGAGAAAAGGGGTAGGGGTATCCATATTCAACCCTAAAGCAGTAGGGTATACTGTGTGATAACATTTCAGCCAGCGGCGATCAGTTATCTATGTACAACATTGTTTGGTAGAACGATTAATGTTTCCGCATTTTTGGGTGACATGACCGTACACTAAGTTTGTTTTGCCTACTTCAACCGGAGTGTTCCCCGGACAGTTCCCAGGGCTTCACTCTAGATAACTCCTAACTTTGGCTGCGAAACATTGCCTTCTCGGCTCACCCTTTCCTTTCTCCCGGTCTTGAGGCCTTAATCGCTTGGCTCCTTCAACCAGGGTAGCCAACAGAAATTTTGGGGCCCCTAACTCAGCTCAGGGTCTGGGGCCCGCCTCCAAATACCACCCACAGGGTCCGCCTCCAAATACCGCCCACAGGAATACACACACAGACACAAACACACACACTGATACAAAAGGACACAGATACATACTAACAGACACACATACTGAAACAGACATACACACTGACACACACATACTGAGACATACACACATATAACACACAGGCATACATAGTGACAGACAGACACATACTAACATACATACCGACATACATGCATGAGGACATAAAGACACATACATATATACATACATTCATACATACAGACATACTGACAGACATACAGACACTGATATCCATACACACATACATTCATAATGGCATACATACATACATACATTCAGACTGACATACATGCATATATACAGACATACTTTTAGTTGTGCCTGGGACTGTTTACGCAGTGTAGCAGCTCTTTGTATGAAAAGTCCCCGTACCACAGGTTTGTGTGCCTGCCATAATGTGGTGTGTGTTACCTCAGGGGTCTCATTTTCTATGAAATAGTTTCGAAGGGCTTCATCTATCTTTTGTTTATAAACTCCTTGTTATGTAACAGAGAGTCATTCAATCTCCACGGACTCCGATGTTTAAAATCATATGAGTCCTTGACCTGTGATGTGACCGGAGCATGATCAGACCACGTGAGTTGGGTAATACTAGGTTAAGGTGTGTCCCTGACACGAAGAACGTATCTAGCCGGGAATATGAGTTGTGTACATGGGAGAAGTAGGTATAATATTTTTCCGTTCCGTGGGAGGCTCTCCATGTGTCATAGTAATGGTGCAGAGCCCTGCACTGTCTCTTGAGGGTCCAAATCTAGCTTTTCGTGGGGAAAGGTGGTGTCTAATGCCGGGTCAAAGATATGGTTAAAGTCCCCACATAGAATAGTGATCCATTGACGTATATACAAATAGAATTGGGGATAATCTGCTAAATACAGATAAAATAAAAAAACATAGTGTTTAACTATGTGAGAGTTAGTGACAATGTGTTAATTACCATTGGTCACTCACAAATTCTCAGATGTAAAACAGCCTTGAGTAAAATCTTTCCTTCAATATCCACTGTATTTTCTCATCCTCGCACTCCCATCAGTAGGTTGGAATATGTAACTCAGGAGAAAAAATATATACAGAAAAGATGTAGTGCCCTTCCAGAGTATAGTAAAAAAGAATTTTAATAACTTACATATAAGTATAAAACAATTCACATGCGTCAGGATTACCTATATTTTCTACATCTCTATTTATCACTGCATCTAATCCTAGCTTGTTATTGCCTCCTATACCTCCCCATTTACAGGTATTCTCTGCCTCTTTTCTATTAACTATTGCAACCACATTGGTGTGCTGTTTAACCTCCTGTGTATTAGAGATACTTCATCTATATACATCAGACCCTGTCTTGCAGGAGTTCAGAGGATACTAATACTCCACCCTCCTATCTTGAACATTGTTTATAGCAAGTGGCTTCACTTTTTACTATTTAAGTATCTCTCAGTATTTACACCTTTTTGGGGGGTTGTGCTACATAGTATAGGCATTTATTAAGGGGTGCCCTCAAAGGCACTTGGATTTTCTATTTTACAAGCATCAGGATTATCTATATTTTTTACATCTCTATTTATTTATCATTGCAATTATCTCAAAACTTAAGTGTTTCCACCCATTCCTGTGTTCCATATATGAAAAACAAATCCGTATAAACCGTGCTGTTCAACCATCATCATTTTGTAGGTGAAACCAGTAACCTATAAATCTTTTAATTACTTGAATACCGTAAGATTTTGCAATATTTCTGGCGGCATGAGGGGCCCAGGGGGGCTAGATGGTGGTGTTAACCCTATAGGGTGTTTCTGACCCTATAGTGATCCTTTAAGGTATCAATAAAAAAAAACAAAAGATCTTCTGTTAGTTCTGGTCATCGCTAACAAATTCTGAAAGCCTCTCGTCGGCCAAACTATTTTTTGTTTAACCCCTTCAGGATGGAGTCAATAGTAAACGTTCTGATCAAAACAAAACGTAAACAAAAACTAAGTGACTACTAAGAAAGACTGGACATACCCCACTTGCAATACCTTTGGTTGTCTACTTTTGCAAATGGTATGCCATCATGGGGGTAATTCTCATTTCTGGGCTACCATACGCTCTCAAAGGCAACATAACCAATCTGGCAAATTTCAATGTAAAAAAAAATGATATGCAAGCCTTATATGTGATTCTCTAACTTTCCAAAACACCATAAAACCTGTACATGGGGGGTACTGTTATTCTCGGGAGACTTCACTAAACACAAATATTAGTGTTTTAAAACAGTAAAACATATTACAACAATAATATAGTCCATAAAAGTGCTGTTCGTTTGTAAAAAATGCAAAAAACTTCACTTTTACTTAAAATATCATCGTTGTAATATAATTTATCATTTTGAAACACTAATATTTGAGTTCAGCGAAGTCTCCCGAGTAAAACAGTACCCCCTATGTACAGGTTTTATGGTGTCTTGAAGAGTTACAGGGTCAAATATAGTGCTTGCAAATTAAATTCTCTGCACTTTCTCCCTGTGTTGTCAGGCATGTCAATCAAATTTTAATTAATCAAATCACATAATTATGTTAAAAGATTACCTAAATATACATGTAGAATTTTAATATATATGCATTTATAGGTATTTAAATTCTACGTGTATACTAATGTAATCTTTTATGTAATTATATGTATTTATATATATATATATATATATTTGCGGTTATTTGTATTTTATATATAGATAGATATATATAGAATGTAATTCTAAGTGTATTTTGTTACCAATATATATATATATATATATATATATTAATAACAAAATACAGTTAGAATGAAATTACATATGAATATATAATTTATATTAAATTTTGTTTCAATATTTTATTTAATATATAATATATGTGTATATATCTATTATATATATATATATATATATACATATTATATATATGTAACGTCATTCTAAGTGTATTTTAATACTAATATATGTACTTATATTAATATTAAAATACACTATGTATGACGTTACATATATATATATAATATATATTATATATTATATATATATATATATATATAAATACATTTCTATTTGTTTAATGATTTTTTTTTACTTTCCCACCAGCAGGGGGACTGTCTGACATTTCAGATCCACAGCTAGCTATAGGGGGACCATATTTGCAGTGGGAGGGCTGCCTGGGCTGTGAGGCAGTCCTCCCGAAGCGGAGCACCGGGAAGTTAAGTATCCCGGGCGCTCTGGGGGCTGCAGCCGTTACGGCGTTCTATGCACCCATTTTATAATTGCTTCATCCTGAGCTTCAGATTTTCCCAAGACAATGACAGCACAGATCGAATTGTTTGATTTTTTTCTGATACACCTCTTATACGTATATTTTTTTCTGCGCGCTCTGTCCTCATTAGTAGTTGTTTTGGAGTCTAAGGTTTCAACTTTTCCTTTTGTAGGTCTTGAATCTGGGTGTAAGCAGCCTTAAAGGACCACTATAGTGCCAGGAAAACATACTCGTTTTCCTGGCACTATAGTGCCCTGAGGGTGCCCCCACCCTCAGGGTCCCCCTCCCGCCCGGCTCTGGAAGGGGGAAAGGGGTAATAACTTACCTTTTTCAGCGCTGGGCGGGAGAGCTCTCTGCCTCCCTCTCGCCTCGTTAAGCCCCGCACAGCAAGAGCTGCGCGCGCATTCAGCCGTCGCATAGGAAAGCATTTACAATGCTTTCTATGACGCTGGCGTGCTCTCACTGTGATTTTCACAGTGAGAAAACGCATTCTAGTGGCTGTGAGAAGGATAGGGAAAGGAGAAAACCATTCAATTATAGCAGTTTCTCTGAAAACTGCTATGCTATATGAAAAAATGGGTTAACCCTAGAAGGACCTGGCACCCAGACCACTTCATTAAGCTGAAGTGGTCTGGGTGCCTAGAGTGGTCCTTTAAGTTTATATTCTAGGTGTTCTACATGTTCCTCATTTGCTTTAATCCTACCCCCAAGACTACGAACAAGACTTGTTCGTTGAATTCATCAAAATGATGGTCCAGTATCTTTTTGAACTGGTTACGTGGGGCTTCCAGGCAGCGCTGCAGATAGTCTTGTGTTAATTACATAGAAACATAGAAACATAGAATGTGACGGCAGATAAGAACCATTCGGCCCATCTAGTCTGCCCAATTTTCTAAATACTTTCATTAGTCCCTAGTCTTATCTTATAGTTAGGATAGCCTTATGCCTATCCCACGCATGCTTAACCCCTTAAGGACACATGACATGTGTGACATGTCATGATTCCCTTTTATTCCAGAACTTTGGTCCTTAAGGGGTTAAACTCCTTTACTGTGTTAACCTCTACCACTTCAGCTGAAAGGCTATTCCATGCATCCACTACCCTCTCAGTAAAGTAATACTTCCTGATATTAGTTTTAAACCTTTGTCCCTCTAATTTAAGACTATGTCCTCTTGTTGTGGTAGTTTTTCTTCTTTTAAATATAGTCTCATTTAATATAGGCACCTTCAACTGATTCCCCCTCAGCTTGAATAGATAGAAGCTCAGTTTCTCCAAAGCTCAGAGGAGACTAATAGTGTGCTAGAGATTTATTTAAAATCTCTTGTTTTTTATAAGATTGAGGGGAAAATAGAGGAGCAATTTTCTTTTATTTATATTTGCAAAAATCTGAATCTCTTTTCTTGTCTTTGTTTGATGCATTGTTAGTGTCTTTTGCCTCTCTTGCTTCCCTGGCTTCTTGGCTCCTCTTAGTGGCAATATTATGACAAGTACTTTAAGCACTGCGGTTATTTTGAAGTCTTAACTCTGCTCTTTAAAACTGTATCAATTGTATCAGTTGAACTGTATCAGTTATATCAGTTGAGCTGTATCAATTGTAACTTATTAAACCAAAATAAATTAGATTCAACATAAAACCTTACCTACTCCTATGTACAATATCGTAAGCAAGCCAAGAGACAGAGAAAAAAAAAAACTTTTAAAGTATACAGACGTAAAGGTAAATACGCCCTTATCCTGTAGTAGGGGATAGTGGAGGAACCCAGACTAATGAAGGTAGGCATAGGAATCTCTCAGTTTTGTCCGGAATCCGCACTGCCCCTTTCCAGAATGAAACCACAAAATTATGGTTTCTTTAGCTCCTTTCAGAGCTCAGGAGCCAATTTACTCCCCCAAGGAAGCCGCTCTCCTAAGGATCAGACTGCAAACACAGATCTCCCAGAGCCGTTTTGCACATGTTAGCAGAGGATGCCGCCATTCATCGCTGCTCCCAGATCTCTCCGACGCTCCGCCCACTCAGCGTCATTACATCATCAAGCATGAGCTAATGATTCTAAACATATTTTAAATATGAAAATATAGATATATTTATATAGCAAAATGCATATATATATATATACACACAGTGGTACCTCGGTTTACGAATTTAATGCGGTCTCCGGGACGTTTTGTATTGTTAAAAATGTATAAACCGAAATGCACTTTACCATAGGAATACATTGAAAACCAATTAATCCGTTCCGAAGGTCAGAAAAAAGTCAAAATGAGCTGGCTTGGAAACCAACCCACAATGCAGAACATCGCTTGAGAAATGCAGCCAAAAAGTTAAAAAAAATTCCAGAATGGCTCCAAAACTCGATGCAAAAGCCGCTCCAACACCTCCACGTGCTACCCACAAACTCCAGCATGCAAGGGGCGGCACTAGAAAACTCCCAGGCGCAATGCATTCTGGGGAAATTTGCTTTGTATTGCGAAAAAAATTAGTGAACTGAGGCATTTTACAATGGATTTTCATTTGTAAACCGAAAATTATGTTAACCGAGGCGTTTGTAAATCGAGGTACCACTGTATAAATATATATAATTATAAATTTTGATATAAATATATCTATATTTTCATTTTGAAAATACGTCTAGAATAAAAAAAAATATATATATGTGTGTGTGTGTATGTATATATATATATATATATATATATAATAACATTGAATTCTAAACATATTTTATGTATAATTTTATATACAGTAAGGTCCATAAATATTGGGACATCGACACAATTCTAATCTTTTTGGCTGTATACACCAACATAATTGGGTTGAAATGAAATAAACAAGATGTGCTTAAACTGAAGACTTTCAGCTTCAATTTGAGGGTATTTACATCCAAATCAGGTGAACGGTGTAGGAATTACAACAGTTTGTATATGTGCCTCCCACTTTTTAAGGGACCAAAAGTAATTGGACAGATTAACAGTCATAAATCAAACTTTCACTTTTTAATACATGGTTGCAAATCCTTTGCAGTCAATTACAGCCTGAAGTCTGGAACACATAGACAGCACCAGATGCTGGGTTTCATCCCTGGTGATGCTCTGCCAGGCCTCTACTGCAACTGTCTTTAGTTCCTGCTTGTTCTTGGGGCATATTCCCTTCAGTTTTGTCTTCATCAAGTGAAATGCATGCTCAATCGGATTCAGGTCAGGTGATTGACTTGGCCATTGCATAACATTCCACTTCTTTCCCTTAAAAAACTCTTTGGTTGCTTTTGCAGTATGCTTCAGGTCATTGTCCATCTGCACTGTGAAGCGCCGTCCAATGAGTTCTGAAGCATTTGGCTGAATATGAGCAGATAATATTGCCCGAAACACTTCAGAATTCATCCTGCTGCTTTTGTCAGCAGTCACATCATCAATAAATACAAGAGAACCAGTTCCATTGGCAGCCATACATGCCCACGCCATGACACTACCACCACCATGTTTCACTGATGAGGTGGTATGCTTTGGATCATGAGCAGTTCCTTTCCTTCTCCATACTCTTCTCTTCCCAACACTCTGGTACAAGTTGATCTTGGTCTCATCCGTCCATAGGATGTTGTTCCAGAACTGTGAAGGCTTTTTTAGATGTTGTTTGGCAAACACTAATCTGGCCTTCCTGTTTTTGAGGCTCACCAATGGTTTACATCTTGTGGTGAACCCTCTGTATTCACTCTGGTGAAGTCTTCTCTTGATTGTTGACTTTGACACACATACACCTACCTCCTGGAGAGTGTTCTTGATCTGGCCATCTGTTGTGAAGGGTGTTTTCTTCACCAGGGAAAGAATTATTTGGTCATTCACAACAGTTGTTTTCCGTGGTCTTTTGGTGTTGCTGAGTTCACCGGTGCGTTCTTTCTTTCTAAGGATGTTCTAAACAGTTGATTTGGCCACACCTAATGTTTATCTCTCTGATGGGTTTGTTTTGTTTTTTCAGCCTAATGATGGCTTGCTTCACTCTCAGGATCCTATTTAAGCATTGTACTGCAGAGACCTCGAGCTGGAAGGATTTCCCCAAGTGAGAAGCTCATTTAGCAGACAGAGTAGGACCTGCCAAAGATGGGGTACATTAGCGTTGTGGCAGGCTTATGCAATGTATGATCATATACTGTAACTAAACCCCCATTATATATTTTTTTGCATAGATTAGGTGTTTTTAGTAAAACGAAAATTGTTCAGCATTAAAATGACTGTTTAGTAGATAAGCGAGTGCGCTGGATTTTCATTTTTGCTTCACTGATAGTGACAGCTCTTTGGCTCTCATATTGAGAGTTGACAGCAACAGATTCCAAATGCAAATAGCACACTTGAAATTAACTCTGGACCTTTTATCTGCTCCTTGTAAATGAGATAATGATGGAATAACACACACCTGGCCATGGAACAGCTGAGCAGCCAATTGTCCCATTACTTTTGGTCCCTTAAAAAGTGGGAGGCACATATACAAGCTGTTGTAATTCCTACACCGTTCACCTGATTTGGATGTAAATACCCTCAAATTAAAGCTGAAAGTCTGCAGTTAAAACACATCGTGTTCATTTCATTTAAAATCCATTGTGGTGGTGTATAGAGCCAAAAAGATTAGAATTGTGTCGATGTCCCAATATTTATGGACCTGACTGTATATTTTTTATATTATGTATATTATAAAATTAGAGCATTTTATTTATATATATTATATCAAATTACAGTTCTCATGAAATTATATATAATTATGTATAGTCTATTAATAAAATGCTTTAATTATTTGTATAATATATTTGCACAATACTTTATTGTAAGTTGTATAACAGTTTTAGTAGTTTGGGGCCCAGGCAGTACCCTGAAGGCAGTACTGAGGGCTCCTATTGCGGATCACATGGCCCTGGTGGGCCGGAGAGGCAGGACTGCTGCAGGGGGACTGCCTGGGCTATCAGGCAGTCCCCTCCCAGAACAGGATCGCTGAGTTAGTCAAGTTTATTACGGGCGGCGGGCTGCTGGACGTGCTATGCCGTCCTCCGGCGTTAAAGCCCACCCTTTTTAGGACGGCATAATACACCCACCATCCTCAAGGAGGCTACAGTTCTTAAGTGTTACATCCTATTGCCAGATTTCACAGATCTTAGTACAGCACAACAAGACTGACCATGTTTATTGAAGAAAAAAAAAAATCTGAATTTTATCTTTCCTATGTTTCAGAAAATAAAATGTGCATTTATTTTATGTTTTAAGAACTTTGGAATAAAGTTAATTTTTGTTATACTAAAATTCTAGATGGTAGCAGGGAATGGGTACAGCAATGTATCATGATCTTTATTTGCTGCATATTACCACTAAACTCAATGTGTAAACCAAAAAGTAAAAAACTACTGAAGAAAAACAAATCATAAGTTAGCATGGGGACAGTTTTACAATTATTTAGAAATTCTGACCCCACAGAAGAGTAATAATGCAGTAATGGAAACCCTGTGTTGATAATCATTAATAGAAATTCAGTCAAAACGTAGTAAAGTGCATTGCAACATTTATGTTATGTGAAATAAAAAACAAACATTTAACTACTTAAGAATCCTTCAAGAATATAGAAGTACAAAGCACAAATGCCTCACAGCCTGTCCAGCATGCATATATAGACAGCAGTGTTTTCCCTAATACACTGCACAGGTTCAAATACCATGAAAAAAACTGCTATGTTTCAGCTTTGCTGCTAAAACTGTATAAAGCAGGGGTCCTCAAACTCCGGCCCCCCAGATGTTGCTGAACTACAACTCCCATGATTCTCTGGCTATCTATGTAATTCAAAGAATCATCAGAGTTGTAGTTCAGCAACGTCTGGAGGGCCACAGTTTGAGGACCCCTGATTTAAAGGGACACTATAGTAACCAGAACAACTACAGCTTAATGTAGTTGTTCTGGTGTGTATAGTCAGTCCCTGCAGGCTTTTTGCAGTAGCACTGTCTTTTTAGAAAAAAAAAAGCAGGGTTTACATTGCTCTCTATGGACACTTCCAGTGGCCACTCCTCAGATAGCTACTAGAGGTGTTTTCTAGGGCAGTTCTGCACAGACATGTAGTGTCTTTACCCTCTGCATGGAGACACTGAACTTTCCTCATAGAGATAAATTGATTCAATGCATCTCTATAAGGAGATGTTGATTGGCCAGGGTGGTGTTTAGCTCTGCCCCCAGCCAGCCTCCTTGGCTGAGATAATCAGAATTGATAATCTCAGCTAAACACCACCCTGGCCAATCAGCATATCCTTATAGAGATGCATTGAATTAATTTATGATTGGTTGAGATCACTTTTGATAATGTCAGACAAGGAGGTAGATCAGGGGCAGAGTCACCATCAGCAGACTGGGATAAAGGTAAGATTTTACTATATTTAGGGAGCCAGGGGGGTTAGATAGTGTTTTTAACATTATAGAATCAGGATGTTTGGGTTCATGACCCTATAGTGCTCCTTTAACCTCTTAATGAAAAGCGACAGTCTGTTATAACAACACTATTTAAACATCTTATTTCAAAATGAAATGACCCACTAAATTTGTCTTTAATTAGTTACAAATACAAAATAAGCAGGACATTTGATAGTGCATAAGGATTTATGAGGACTAAATTGTGATGATGGCAAAGTTAAATATTTGGCCCTTAAAGGGACACTATAGGCACCCAGACCACTTCAGCTCATTGAAGTGCTCTGGGTGCATATTTCCAGTTCCAATAACCAAGCAAAGATAATTATTGCAGTTTTTAATTAAAAGGACACTATAGTCACCCAGACCACTTCAGCTCAATGAAGTGGTTTGTGTGCCATGTCCCTCAGGTTTTAACCCTGCAGCTGTAAACATAAGTTTCAAAGAACTGCTATGTTTACATTAGGGGTTAAGCCATCCTCTAGTGGCTGTCTTCCTGACAGCCGATAGAGGCGCATTTGCGACGCTGGATGCGAATTTCACATCCATGGTGCAGAGTGTCCATAGGAAAGTATTGAGAAATGCTTTCCTATGGACTGTTTAAATGCGAGCGCGGCACTTGCCACTCCAGTCGGGAGCCGACGTCGGCAGGGGGAGGAGAGGTCACCAGCACCGAGGGAGCCCAGCACAGGACAAAGGTAAGTGGCTGAAGGGGTTTTAACCCCTTCAGCGCCACGGGAGGGGGACTCTGAGGGCAGGGGCACTCTCAGGGCACTATAGTGTCAGGAAATCCGCTTTGTTTTCCTGATACTATAATGATCCTTTTAACTGCAATAATTACCTTTATGGGTTAACTCTACCTCTAGTGGCTGTCTACCAGACTTTTGGCATGAGGACATCCAGCGTCACCCAAAACCCCATAGGAAAGCATTGTATAATGCTTTTCTATGGGGAAAGTCCTAAGGCGAGTGTGGCTGTTGGCGAGGGAGGAGCACAGGCGGAAACTGAGTAAGTGCAGAGAGACATCAGCGCTGGACTCGGGTAAATGCAGAAGGGATTTTTAACCCCTTCTGCACCACAGGGAGGAAGGGCACTATCTGGAGCTTTTTTTTTTTCTTCTTTTGCTGGCACTATAGTTTCCCTTTCCGATGTTATAGTATATTCAGAACTATCCTCTGGTTTATTCACTAAAGTGAGAATTGAAAGTGCATTACACATTTTAGCCAAAAGTATATGAAGTTGAAGCATAGCTTGGCTATTTTATCCTTCACTTTGAATTCCCATAGAATTCTTAATTTTAGTAAATAACCCTTTTTGTGTGTCACCTACAGTTGTAGTAGGTATTGTACTTGTTCACAGAGTTTGGACTTTCTTCCTACCAACACCCATAATGAGTACCAATAAAGGGTTACTCTAACATAAAAAACTGTGTTTTCTATAAAATATTGCTATTATTAGAGTAACACTTCCTTATTCTGTCCCCAGACATTCAATATGCACAGAACGGATATTAGCCAGCTTGTTCGGTACTGGATGACTACTCCCCAGTGATGCTGCTGGTGTTTGAATAACTCACCCAGCAACAAAAATGGTTAAACTTTGTATGGGCATCATTTCATAGCAAAATACTGCATATACAGAATCCAGGCACGATCACCCATTGACACCACTACAGAGGTTACACTAACCCTATAATTGGTGTAATAAGCACAGTAATACCTTGGGTTAACTCTTATAAACCATCCAAAGTTAAACATTCAAGTAAATGGATATGATTGTAAAGTCTCAAACTTATATTTTTAGGTTTGGTTAGCAGTTAAATATATCGTATTACTGTACAATGTAGAATATAGGTTTTACAGACATACTGCAATTCGTGAGCAAATTACTGAATTAGCAGGAACATTCCACTGGTTTCCAATGTTACTGCATCGTATAAACATCTAAAGCTGAAATGCTCTTTTACACAAAAGTTTGCGGAAAAAAAAAAAAAGTTTGCTTTTCACAACATTCTGGCATTTTTATCAGTATTGCACTTCTGTAACATTCTAGCAGATTCATTTATAATAGCCTTGGCTGTTACATACAGTATTTACAAATGATTAATTTATACACTAGAATTACCATGAGTCCAGTAACAAAAATATTTTACTCCATTTGTTTTTGCAATATATACACAAAACCCAACAACCTCTAGTCAGTTATTTAAACAGATGCTCTGCAGCAGACAGAAAATTTGTTTCAAACTCGCTGTCTGAGAATCTGGTGACAGAACGGCGAGCATTTTGTCTTATTGTCAGTCTTTCTTCTGGAGACAGGGACAGGATTTGGTCCATAACCGAAGCATAGCTGTCCTCACTATCTGCCAAGAACCCAGTTTTTTGGCCTTCAAAAGGTTTCACAATGTCCATCTTAGGACCTCCTGAATTGTGGGCGAGAATGATTGTCCCGGCTGCCATGCATTCAACTACTCCTGCAAAACAAAACAGAAAAAAAAATCACGAGTGTATCTATTACCTGCACATGTAAATCAATGAAAAACATCCTCTCTTAGGACATCACTGCCACAAAGTGCTATCTGCAATCAGACTCAAATCCTGCCATTGACAGATTAGTCACAAGGTCAAGGAATCAGTGGTTAAAAAAAAAAACACAACTTGCCAGTACAAAATCAAAATGTTATTAAATAAATAAGAAATTTCACTAAACATCATCGTGAATCTCCTATTGCAACTAATTTAGACTTCTCAGCTATAATATACGTTCTGGTGAAAAATAGCCCTAGGTATTAACCATCTACACTAAACTAGTTTGGCTTCTCTGGTGTTAAATTTGAAATTCACTTTGAATTCTCACAATGGATAAGCCTGTTAAACTCAAAATGGTTTTCAGTAACTCTACAAGTCTGCTCCCCATGTTGTGTAGCGGTGAAAGGTC